CGCCTGTTCACGTTGATTATATCGATGTTAGCAATTATGTCGCTGTGCATATTTGCTTGTATTTTGTTGATTGTGTCGACGTGGAACCACAGCACCTCTCTGACGCACAATGCCTGGTGAGCGTATAACGATTCACTTTCTCCTCCTTTTCTCTTGTATGCACGTACATCAACAAATATCAGTGTGACAGCTGATCACTTCTATCACTATTCTCTGTCGTCAAAACAAAATTGTGTATACGTGTGATTGTTGAGTATGTGACTTGTGTTGTTTTGCCACGTCACACTGAGCGATTCTTGTGACAGTGCAGTCACTTGAATTTGAATTGCATTTCACACGACAATTTCAATCAGCTTATTTCATTGTCATCATCTCATGTATTCACACGGATGATTGAGTCGCCTCACCGGATGCAGATTTTCGCAGACCGTATCACAAATGCTTGTACAGCTTCGTTCATAGTGATGAACGTGCTGTTGAGAATAGCCTGTCCGCTGACTCACTCGCCTTCAGTGTGATTTCAAGTGAAGGATGAGACTGTGAACGGTGTTCAGGTCGATTGGAAGCGATTGTTTCAATTGGAAGGTGGTTTCCATCGCCTGTTCACGTTGATTATATCGATGTTAGCAATTATGTCGCTGTGCATATTTGCTTGTATTTTGTTGATTGTGTCGACGTGGAACCACAGCACCTCTCTGACGCACAATGCCTGGTGAGCGTATAACGATTCACTTTCTCCTCCTTTTCTCTTGTATGCACGTACATCAACAAATATCAGTGTGACAGCTGATCACTTCTATCACTATTCTCTGTCGTCAAAACAAAATTGTGTATACGTGTGATTGTTGAGTATGTGACTTGTGTTGTTTTGCCACGTCACACTGAGCGATTCTTGTGACAGTGCAGTCACTTGAATTTGAATTGCATTTCACACGACAATTTCAATCAGCTTATTTCATTGTCATCATCTCATGTATTCACACGGATGATTGAGTCGCCTCACCGGATGCAGATTTTCGCAGACCGTATCACAAATGCTTGTACAGCTTCGTTCATAGTGATGAACGTGCTGTTGAGAATAGCCTGTCCGCTGACTCACTCGCCTTCAGTGTGATTTCAAGTGAAGGATGAGACTGTGAACGGTGTTCAGGTCGATTGGAAGCGATTGTTTCAATTGGAAGGTGGTTTCCATCGCCTGTTCACGTTGATTATATCGATGTTAGCAATTATGTCGCTGTGCATATTTGCTTGTATTTTGTTGATTGTGTCGACGTGGAACCACAGCACCTCTCTGACGCACAATGCCTGGTGAGCGTCTAACGATTCACTTTCTCCTCCTTTTCTCTTGTATGCACGTACATCAACAAATATCAGTGTGACAGCTGATCACTTCTATCACTATTCTCTGTCGTCAAAACAAAATTGTGTATACGTGTGATTGTTGAGTATGTGACTTGTGTTGTTTTGCCACGTCACACTGAGCGATTCTTGTGACAGTGCAGTCACTTGAATTTGAATTGCATTTCACACGACAATTTCAATCAGCTTATTTCATTGTCATCATCTCATGTATTCACACGGATGATTGAGTCGCCTCACCGGATGCAGATTTTCGCAGACCGTATCACAAATGCTTGTACAGCTTCGTTCATAGTGATGAACGTGCTGTTGAGAATAGCCTGTCCGCTGACTGACTCGCTTTCAGTGTGATTTCAAGTGAAGGATGAGACTGTGAACGGTGTTCAGGTCGATTGGAAGCGATTGTTTCAATTGGAAGGTGGTTTCCATCGCCTGTTCACGTTGATTATATCGATGTTAGCAATTATGTCGCTGTGCATATTTGCTTGTATTTTGTTGATTGTGTCGACGTGGAACCACAGCACCTCTCTGACGCACAATGCCTGGTGAGCGTCTAACGATTCACTTTCTCCTCCTTTTCTCTTGTATGCACGTACATCAACAAATATCAGTGTGACAGCTGATCACTTCTATCACTATTCTCTGTCGTCAAAACAAAATTGTGTATACGTGTGATTGTTGAGTATGTGACTTGTGTTGTTTTGCCACGTCACACTGAGCGATTCTTGTGACAGTGCAGTCACTTGAATTTGAATTGCATTTCACACGACAATTTCAATCAGCTTATTTCATTGTCATCATCTCATGTATTCACACGGATGATTGAGTCGCCTCACCGGATGCAGATTTTCGCAGACCGTATCACAAATGCTTGTACAGCTTCGTTCATAGTGATGAACGTGCTGTTGAGAATAGCCTGTCCGCTGACTCACTCGCCTTCAGTGTGATTTCAAGTGAAGGATGAGACTGTGAACGGTGTTCAGGTCGATTGGAAGCGATTGTTTCAATTGGAAGGTGGTTTCCATCGCCTGTTCACGTTGATTATATCGATGTTAGCAATTATGTCGCTGTGCATATTTGCTTGTATTTTGTTGATTGTGTCGACGTGGAACCACAGCACCTCTCTGACGCACAATGCCTGGTGAGCGTATAACGATTCACTTTCTCCTCCTTTTCTCTTGTATGCACGTACATCAACAAATATCAGTGTGACAGCTGATCACTTCTATCACTATTCTCTGTCGTCAAAACAAAATTGTGTATACGTGTGATTGTTGAGTATGTGACTTGTGTTGTTTTGCCACGTCACACTGAGCGATTCTTGTGACAGTGCAGTCACTTGAATTTGAATTGCATTTCACACGACAATTTCAATCAGCTTATTTCATTGTCATCATCTCATGTATTCACACGGATGATTGAGTCGCCTCACCGGATGCAGATTTTCGCAGACCGTATCACAAATGCTTGTACAGCTTCGTTCATAGTGATGAACGTGCTGTTGAGAATAGCCTGTCCGCTGACTCACTCGCCTTCAGTGTGATTTCAAGTGAAGGATGAGACTGTGAACGGTGTTCAGGTCGATTGGAAGCGATTGTTTCAATTGGAAGGTGGTTTCCATCGCCTGTTCACGTTGATTATATCGATGTTAGCAATTATGTCGCTGTGCATATTTGCTTGTATTTTGTTGATTGTGTCGACGTGGAACCACAGCACCTCTCTGACGCACAATGCCTGGTGAGCGTCTAACGATTCACTTTCTCCTCCTTTTCTCTTGTATGCACGTACATCAACAAATATCAGTGTGACAGCTGATCACTTCTATCACTATTCTCTGTCGTCAAAACAAAATTGTGTATACGTGTGATTGTTGAGTATGTGACGTTCATCTTACCGTTCGTTCAGATTAGAAATAACTAAGTGTTTTAAGCTTATTATAGTTTAATGTGTATTCAGGTATATGATAAGTCTGTCTTCTTTGTTGAATTGCGAATTTTGATGATGAATTTTTCACTATTTTGTTAATAATATCATCACTCTTGTGCACTGTACGTTTTCTCTGATTGTGCTTTTGGAATAATGGATGCCCGCATACGCCTTTCGAAGTGATCATTTTTGAAACTATATATTAGTTTGTTTATTAGATGTATCACAAGGTGAAACAGTATTATTTTCTCGATGACATTTCAAACAAAATTTATGGTTCATTATCATATTAAGTAAAATCAAATGACTTCGAAACTTGAGTTTTATGTTTTTCTATGTCCTCTACATTTTGTCGTAGGGGTAGTTAAATTTTCCAGGTGTCCAGATTTTGAAACAATCGTATTACACCTATTTGTAGTTGATTCGATAAACAAAGCTTCTGTTATCAATGTTTCCCTTCACCTTGTGACATTAGATTTTAAAACTGTCATCCTATCCCATCCTATTTTATGGTTGTGTGTAACTGCATGTAGTGCTATAGCTGAACTATTCTCTAGGTTTCTTATCTTACTGACATCAACTAATCTAGATTTTGCTAGATTTTAATGCTCATGTAGTTTGACTGTACCTGTTTTACTACTTTCACCTGTTTATTTGACCTGACAATCATTGCAGGGTATAAGATAAACTAAAGTGTTTTGTTTTAAAAGCTCCACATGATCCTTTAATTGAAAAAGCTGGTTTCTAATTGAGTTTGTGGGTTTGAATGCCCTTTTAATTCCTGCCTTGTTAGGAAATCTGCGTAAGGTTCCCAAGGTTCCTTCTTTGTATGAAATTACTACTGATGATTTAGATTCCGTATTGTTGGTGTCTAATTAGCGACGCAATTTAGGAATCTTTAATCCTAAACCGTGAAATGGATAGCCTTACGATAGTCATTTGTTTCTAAATCAATTTAAGCTTTTTCACACGGGTTTGCTTTTGTTGACTGAGTTATATTTGAAAATGAATCACATAGTGAAATGCATTGTTCAGCAACCAAAAGCACTTGAGAGTATAGGACATAGGCTGCGTCATTCTAGTATTAGATGTAGTTAGTCACCATCGAGGATCTGGTCTCCGGCTTTCCGGTAACAATTAAAGCTGGCTCTTATATTGTTCAATCAGTGAGACCCCACTAAATGCCACATTACTCATGATTTGTAGCCGCAACCACACACAGGGGTTGTGTACTGCCTATGTAATCGTATCCACGATGCCCATTTTCACCTTTTCGAGACTCACCGACTGTATATACCAGTTTATGGTTCTGTCCCCAGTGATATTTCAAACGTATTACTCATCGTTCTAAACGTGAATGCGTTATCCACTAGAACACTGAGGCCAAGACCATCACCATCTTTCATATAAGGTGCATCAAGCACATCGATTCTTCGACTAGTCACCATCCACTTAATTACGTCTTTTAATATCAAGTTGATGTGAAATGAAGGATGTGCCTGTGTAAAATAAAATTTCGTAAAAATCATCACTGTTTTGTTTTTAGGCCAGTTGAATCAGAAAATGTAACTGAATTATGGCTCATCACACAAACATAAACAAACAAATGCTGTCACTTTTTTCATTGGTTACTGAAAGCAGCCAATCAGTGAAATAATGTCAAGCGTTACTGGTATAAATAGCCCAACAAAATATTCTGTTAGTGTCAAGTTAGTTAGCGACTATTCAGCATACATTGCGGGTGAGTTCCAGTTGTATAAATATTTATAAAATATATCATGTAATTTTTAATAAACGTTTGATAAAGATTCACATTCTCGTTTTCAAAAAGACACCATATTCATGCACGAATATTGTATAGATTGTGTCTGAACAGTCTTTCTTCAACTGGCTCAAGCATCCAGGTCAGCCCATCCGTAAGTTACATTTTATCACATCTAGTCTGGGTAGAATAGAACTCCAAGTAAGCAAATCTTAAGTAATCTGTACATTTGCGAGGAACTGTAGAACCGCATACGTTTTCTGGTTAATATCTTTGAAATTGGCAGTTTTGTCAGTTCATTGTGGCATCCCTTTTGATAAGTCTCTTTCGGAAATAATGTTGATATTGTTTGCAGTTCATGAGAGTTTGTTTAATAAAGTTAGGTGGATTTGTCAATTCGTGATGTTCTGGAAACGTTGAGTGAGTGTGCGATCAGTGAATATTCCATCTCCCTAATTCACGCAAGTGATTTTGGTGTTCTCTGGGCAAAACAGTTACAAAATTTAAAGGTTTCTTTCTATATAAAGAAGGGACGAAACAGAATGTAGATTAGCCTTCTGCCGAATTATATTCCTCAGTTCACTGTCTGTTACATACTCATCAACTGCTGAAGTCACATATCTAAATTTAGATCAGAGTGATGATATTCGCATTTCTGTTAGTTGTAGTAATTCAATGAAATAATTTCACACATATTTTGTCAGCAACAATGGAAATCTGTTTACTAAGTAGTTGTCTTTAGACTTCTGTTTAACTTCATAATGAAATCATCAATACCCTTTCGAGTGACAGTATTGGCATGCATCTCCAGTGGTGTTCATTCATTGGTAGATAATCCATGAAGAATTTTGACCGCTGTGTAGAAGTCTCTCTTCGATTTTATTCAGTCGATAAAGGATTGCATCAATGTGGCTGAGGGCGTGGGTCCGTAGGTAGCAAATTATGTGATTTTGTCTGAGCAAGATGTTCAACTCCACTCAATACTAAATATGATAAGTTCTTCAAATCACTCAGTCCCCAAGTAGCTGGTAGAGACTGTTGAATTAGCGAATCAGAAGCTTTTGAGATACAATTCATCAGTTTTCTCGATTCATTCAAGAACGTCAAACCTCTATACATATATATATATATACATACATATATATGCAATCAATTTTCAGTCTCACATTTCCATCCAGGCGAATTTCATGAATGATTAAGTCCTAATACGCAGACAAGCTAATAATGTGGCAGATGGAATTCTAAATAGTCTCGAGCGTTCACAAAGCACGTGTATAACATAGAGTGTTGAGCCGTATCTCAAGGTTTCACCACCGGCGTTTGGGTGTTTTCAAGTGTCACACCCAGGGAGTGATATTTTTTGTTTGCCATTACCATCACTGCTCCCTCGGCTTCCAAGTGTTGATGAAGGTAGGCAGCTGACTATTCAAAGAGCTATTCATGACTCACTGGCCCAGTTTTAGAGCCACACAGGAGGACCAACTGACAGAATGACTTAATATTGGTGTTGGATTTGTCAAGTCGTGATGTCCTGAAAACGTCGAGTGAGTGTGCGATCAGTGAATATTTCATCTCCCTAATTCACGCAAGTGATTTTGATGTTCTTCAGGCAAAACAGTTACGAAATTTAGATGTTTTTCTCTATATAAGGAAGAGACGAAACAGAATGTAGATCAGCTATCTGCCGAATTATATTCTTCAGTTCACTGTCTGTTATAGACTCATCAACTGTTGAAGTCACATATCTAAATTAAGATGAAAGTGATGATATTCGCTTTTCAATTAGTTGCAGTGATCCAATGGGATAATTGCACACATGCAGTTTGTGAACAGCAATGAAATCTCTTTCTTTAATTGTTGTCCTTTGTCTATTATTTAACTTCGTAATGAAATTATCTATCCCCTAACGAGTGACAGTAGTGGCATGCATCTCCAGTTGTTCCTTTATCGTTAAATAATCCATGAAGAATTGTGTTCACTGTGTAAGACACTCTCTTCAATTACACTCAGTCGAGGATAGGAGGCATTGATGTGGCAGTGGTCGTGGTTCCATGGGTAGTCTTCCAAATTAATTTTACTGTGAGTATGAGGGTTTGTCATGAATTTCCGATTACATTTGGCTTTGACATTCTCATCCGTTCCGCCTGCCAGTAGTCACACTGATGGTGTGTAGATAAGTAAGGGAAGAGAGATATTCCAAATTTATTCCGCTGAGAGCGACTGGTGCTTGTTGTAGGTGTCAGCTGGTTGTTTGGATATCTGATTGGTTAGTTGTCTTCATCGTTGATGGCTTAGGTTCTTCATCTGCACTTTTTCTGTGTTAACTTGAAGTCTTCTATGCGCTGTCTGTTGGTTTTCGTCTGTCCAAATTTCAGCCACGTGTCATATGTGTCTGATATAAATAAGGCAATAGTATTGAGCATTTTCGTCTCAGAATTTGATATCATATTCTAGAAGAAATCTACCTTACTCTTTCAAACTTGATAAACGTCATCAATATTTCAACTCATGAGGCTGTTAATCCATGGTTCCTCTGACCACTGGAATTTCCAGTATTCTCCACGACTTGTTTGGTGTTTCGAATTCCCACATTTTCAATATTGTTACTTTATATTTCTTTTTCGACTTCAATTTCGCTGCCTCATTTCATTCGAATTTATCGGTATAAGCTGAAATGAATAGTCGCCATCAACTGTAGGTAATGACGTTGTTTAAAATAGGCTTGTGTTCACCTAGAGCGTGAAAGAAAACAACACACTATATTCATACCGTCATCACTGCTAGAGACAAAAGTGTAATCAACGAGAACCTTGATCACTGTCGAATTTGACAGTGGCTGATTTCTCCTTCACACTCAACCGATATATCACTATGTTTCATTCTATCGGTTTCCGAGTGGAACATGTAGCTTGAGAAACACATCTGTACGCTGTCCTGTCTTCTGCCAACCTATACAGCTGGGTCCACGATTAACCATAATCTGTCATCCCTTGCTTGTACAACATACTCCATAACACTCTAGGATGACTCACTTGTCGATCCTCATTTGGATTCCCCTCGACCGATGGCCTTGTGTTTGATGTTATTCGACGGTCTTCTTAGTGTATGCCAGATCCTTGATATAGGTATGAAGCCTGTGCACTGTGGTTAGGTATTATTCTATTATGGGTGAAATTTTTCAAAACGTCTTATAATGTTATACAGTAATATTTACTGATGACGTTTCGGGCACAATTTTTTGACGCTCATAATCATATCAAGTCAATGCAAACATAACATTCTAACTTCGTTTATATGATTCCATTATTTTGCATCGCTTTATTTGTTTGGTGGTAGTAATTTCCATAATTCTATTATGATTGACGAGTCATTGCATCCTATTATACATGATGAGCGTAGACTTGATGAACAATTCAGTAATCAACTTCCCTCTCCACCTACCTAGATTACTTCATAGAATTTTAACCTTCTCCTAACCTATTGTTTGGTTGTGAGTTAATGAATGCATTCAGCGGAATTCCTGAGCCTTTTTTAATTTACCTTTTTTCTGGGGGTCAACGATTCTTACCTTATCTAAATTCTTATCTTACGACAATCTGACTACGTTCGATCTACTTTTTTGACCTGTTCAATTGACACAACTCACAGGCATTGCAATATATTTTGTTAACTATGATATGCTGTCTAATTGGTTCAACCAAAAGCTTGTCCCTGAGTGACTGTGTAGGTTTAAATGTCACTGTTATTCCTGCTTTATTAGGAATACTACTACTTTGAATCTCCTGTGTCCCCTCCTTATATGGTATAAGATTATATGGCTTATATTCTTATATATCTTATCACTACTAGTTTCATAATTTTTTTTTAAATTTTGCTTTCGAGCTCTTCTGAAGAATTTTATGGGATAGTTATTTGATACCAACGCCTCTTCTATCTGTATTATTCCGTCATATAGGTCGTTTCTTGTACTACCAAGTGCTAATGCATAGTATGTTAGACACTTAACTAAAGCACTCTTCACAGGCAGACAACGGATGAGATGAATTAAAATCTAAATATATATTGGAATTCATTGGCATTTTATAAACGCTAGTCTGCAGATCTCTAGATCATTGAAAGCACAGACGTCTGCAAGTAATTCCTCGTTCTTATTCATTACTCTGAGCCAGAGCCTCCCGACCCCTGATGAGCTCTCTTCCTGTATTGTCAGCTATCAGTTTGATATTAATATCGCCAATAAAGTATTCGATGTCACCATTTGAGATGTTTTACATCACTGTTTGCAGTTGTGTGTGAAAATCTCCCTACTTCTTCACTACTAGCGTTTACCTTGTTTGTAGCATTGTGCGTAGCACTAGATAATTTTTAGCTTCCTTCCGTGCTTTTTAGTTGAATCTCGCTTTTATTGCATGCATCATCTGTAGATAGGATTTTATAGGCACCCACGAGTGCATGATGTTATCATTCTGCATATTTGTTTGAATTATCAGATCTGACTGAGTCGTGTAGGACCAGGTTCGATGCTGATGATTTGAGGTCCAAATGAGAGTAACGGCCTCTGCGTGTTAGCACTAATTGTTGATCCTTGTGTGTAAATCAATCATTCAGTAGTATATGGTGTCATGCACATATGCTTGTCTCTTTGATCACTACTAAGCGTATCTAGCAGATCACGTATTACACTGTGAATTCTTTGCCGTCTCTTGCGCACCAGAACATCGTTCAATTGCCAGCTCAAATGGAAACTACGAGATGTGCGTGGGTCTGATGATGTAGTGTGGGATGAAGCCTGGAGATGATGAAAGTTGGTCACACCGGAAACTGTGAGTTGTGTTTTCGAATCCGTATGTTCTACTTGGATTCCGAAGCAACTGAAAAACTCACTCATTGTTATTCATTTCAAATTACATCAAATTGATTGTCATTGTTCTTCTTTTTATTATGTATTTTCAGCAAAATGGTGTTCCAGATGACAAAATTGAACCTCATCATATTCATCAGTCTGTGCGTAGTCACTATTGAAGCAGGTCATTCAAATGAAATGCCGTCTGTTAAACCAGGTAATTCAAATTAATTCTCTATGTGTAAACGACTGAATTAATTTATTGTATCACCGCTTATCCCGCTTCTCGATAAATCACTCCTTGGAAGTCATGATACTTCACACTGGTGACTGACTGACACACTTCAAGATGAAATTATCTTACCAGTGTGAGAACACATCCTCACTGGTGCTGAGGCTGGATAGCAGTGGTGCTATATATTGCCGATTAGAGGAATTAGGAATTCATTGACATCTATTGTTTTGTTCTGTGACTGAAATCATCTTGTGATGATATAGTGAGATCATCTTGTCATCTGGAATCTTCTGGTCTCATTCCTGATGGAATGTTGTGTGCGTACTAGTGAAGAACCTCAGATCGCGTCCATGTTTTTGTCACGTACTTCACGTAGGTCAGTTAGTCAATCAGTCATTTCGTCTGTATAATACAAAAACTTGGCGTATGCGTATTGAGAAGTAGCTCCAACAACCAGCTGCAGACTACTTTCCACAGCTGCTTTCCCCAGCACCTCATTGAACATCAGATTGTGCTCCAGGTCTGATTGGAAAACCGAAACTGTCGGCGAAACCAACGAAGAACCTTGCTAAAGAAATGTTCAAACGGAGACGGGGATTAACCGGTCACACGTTGTGAACGCTTGTTGTGAAATGGAGATTTGTGCATGAGTGAGTGGTTGATATAAGTTAGATTGTGTGAGTTCAGGAAATGAGAGATTCTGGACAATCGTGAAGACGTGCCGAAGAGAACAACATCTTATAGGACTATTTGGAGATTTTCAAAGAATGTTTTGCATGGTTTTTTACCTGTTCAGGCAATATCGGCGATGGTACATTTGAGTAGATTGAAAATCCCCATTGAGTCATATGAAAAAGAGAAGACATTCAGCGAAGAGACTCTTTTCGGCGAATTCATTCCCATAGCTGTACAATCACATTTATATATAAATATTTGTGTGTGTGTGTGTACATGAGGTTTGTCAAGTTTAGACAATTGATTAGTTAATACAAGAATGACAAAGTTAATCAGACAGCAAATAAAGTAAGACTGAGTTAAAAACTAGATGACGTAATATAATTGGCTGAAATGTTACAACTTAGGTCAGGATAGCAACAGAGGTAATTACAGGTAGAGATTAAGTAGAAGTGAAATTGAGTGAATAAGTTGGATGACGTAACATGAATGACTAGAAACTGAGCGTTGTTCAAGTCAGTAATTATATTATATTACGTCATCTAGTTTTTAACTCAGTCTTACTTTATTTGCTGTCTGATTAACTTTGTCATTCTTGTATTAACTAATCAATTATCTAAACTTGACAAACCTCATGTACACACACACACAAATATTTATATATAAATGTGATTGTACAGCTATGTGAATGAATTCGCCGAAAAGAGTCTCTTCGCTGAATGTCTTCTCTTTTTCATAAGACTCAATGGGGATTTTCAATCTACTCAAACGTTGCAAGGACCCAGTGACGGTGAAGGAGCTGGATGGTTTCCTGCGTTACTCCGTCAAGCTTGCGGTAGCGAAGACAAAGATTGATTTCTTAAGAGATTGTATAGATCGACATAAGTATCCAAAGATGTATTGGAAGTCACTGAGACGCAACCACATCCAACCGAATACCAGAACACTCAGACGACACACACGAAACAACATCGACTCCATTCAATCACGCGTCCCTGAGCTAGAGCGAAACGTCTACTCAAGAGCTCATGCAGTCGAAGACTTAGATCAAGAACTACGCCATTCCTTCGAAGAATATGTACAACAAGTCACTCAAAAAGAATGTAACAAGACTAAAGCAGATCTTCTCAAAAGCCTAAAGCCTACAATTAATACCGAATCTCCGTTCCCAAGCAATCCAGAAAAGTACGTATTCAATCTTTCAGACATCACACTGTCTACTACTCAACTAGAGGCACTATCTCTAGGTCCAAGTATTGACAAGCTACAATGCCAGGTTCAGTTCGAAAATCTAATAAACCAGACTTACGATCTCACACCTACATCAGACGAAAACCTACAACAATTCAAAGCATCAATCCTCGACTGTTGTCACAAGTTTATAAATACCAAACACAACGGAAGGTCCATCTTGACGAAGAGGCACCATAAGGAGCTGAAAGAACTTATGAAAAATGAAGAGATTATGATATTACGTCCTGATAAAGGCGGAGGAATCGTAATCATGAATCGCAAGGACTATATCAGTAAAATGCTGACTATACTATCCGATGAATGCAAATTCACAAAGCCGATCAACGAGAAAAACATGACTGAACAAACCGAACAAAAGCTAACGGACACCCTTCGTAAGTTGAAGACTGAATCCTTCATCAGCAGCGAAATGTTCGAATCCCTTAGACCGTCTGGCTCAAATATACCACGACTTTACGGACTCCCGAAAGTACACAAGAAGGATATCCCTCTTCGACCGATCCTCGACATGACCAATTCACCCTATCACCGCACAGCTCAATGGTTAGCAGATCTACTTGAACCAATCAGAAAACAAGTTTCCTGCCACACAGTTCGAGATTCATTCGACTTTATCGACTCAATCGAAAATATCAACGTATCCAACAAGACAATGATTTCATTAGATGTCACATCACTATTCACAAACGTTCCACTGACTGAAACAATATGCTACATATGCGAACTTATTCACTCAATGGGAATAAACATCGGTATACCCACCGAGCATCTTGAAGAACTCCTACTGAGGTGTACCCTGAATGTTCAATTCTCTTTCAACAACGAAATATATCGCCAAAAGGATGGTATAGCTATGGGCTCACCACTAGGCCCTTTGCTTGCAGATTTCTTCATGGCAAAACTCGAAAACACATGCCTGAAGAAAATGATCAATACCTTCGAAATCTATAAAAGATACGTCGACGACACCTTCATTATCGTCAACAACGAAGAAAATCTAGACGACATCTTAAAGTCGTTTAACAACTGCCACCCTGCAATTCAGTTCACGATGGAGAAAGAGTCCAACTCCACAATATCTTTTCTTGACGTCCAACTAACCAGAAGAGAACAGGATGGAACACTGAGAAGATCTATCCACAGAAAATCGACGTGGAACGGACAGCTTACTAACTTTCACAGTTGAGTACCACTATACACCAAACGAAACCTGATCCGTTCACTCAGCTACAGAGTTCGCAGAATCTGCACCCCGGACACCGTAGAAGACGAACTGGACACCCTCAAGAGAATCCTCGTCGAGAATTGCTATCCAGAAAGATTTATTGCAAAATCTATGAATCCTAGACCAGAAAAGCCGCCCATACTCAGCGTCAAGAAAAAACTACTCTACATGAACCTCCAATTCAATGGAGATCTATCTGCGGAAACACTAAAAAATCGACTGTCGCGCTCACTTAAGAAGTCCTTCTTCGCAGCTGAACTACGACTAACCTTCTCCACAAAACCTATGATTCATGTGAACGTGAAGGATAAGCTACCGCTGCTGGCCTCATCAATGTGCATTTATCAATTCACCTGCTCGTGTGGAGCCAGGTATGTCGGCCCTACCCAGCGCTCGCTTTCCAAACGTATCACCGAGCACTTACCATCATGGTTTTACAAAGGAGAAAATCGATGCCCCCGCAGTTCCATCTTAGAACATCTGATAGAATCCGGACACCAAGCTACACCGCAAACAAACTTCAAAGTCGTCTACAGAGTAAGAGGTGGTCTCCCTAAAGGTGTACGAATCAGACTTCTTCAAACTGCGGAAGCAATGGCGATTCACTTGCTAAGTCCTGAACTCTGCATACAGAAGAAGTTCGTTCAATCGTTACACTTGCAATGGACGTAATCTATCTTATTAGCCGACATGTAAATTCTACCTAATCTTTTTTTTCTGTCTCTTCATTAGTATTACTTTGTCTTCTCAATTGTAACATTTTACATTCTCAACTTTCTTGTTCTCTACCCCCACCCGATTCAATCTCTACACCCCACTACCACTGTTACTGACTTGAACAACGCTCAGTTTCTAGTCATTCATGTTACGTCATCCAACTTATTCACTCAATTTCACTTCTACTTAATCTCTACCTGTAATTACCTCTGTTGCTATCCTGACCTAAGTTGTAACATTTCAGCCAATTATATTACGTCATCTAGTTTTTTAACTCAGTCTTACTTTATTTGCTGTCTGATTAACTTTGTCATTCTTGTATTAACTAATCAATTGTCTAAACTTGACAAACCTCATGTACACACACACACACAAATATTTATATATAAATGTGATTGTACAGCTTTGTGAATGAATTCGCCGAAAAGAGTCTCTTCGCTGAATGTCTTCTCTTTTTCAGATGGTACATTTCGCTTCCTGATCGCCTGACTCGTATCTTCAGCAGTACACAGGTGAAGAAGGGATACACCGCTCTTTGTCGATTCATATATAATGGACAAACTAACTGACTTACTCTTAATCTACCATTCATTAACTGTATCTGGCTAAATGTGGAGTCGAGCATATTGACCAAACATTCAGTTCTTAGTCTCCCGTACTAATTGAGAACAATCGAACTCACTCAATCTATGAAGACCGCATATTTCGTACTTTGACCTCAGAAAGCTTTATAAATAATATGAGAGCACATATACTGCATTGCTACAAATCCCTGAGCACTGATTCTTCGAATACGAAATATCTTGCATGCAAGCATGATAAGTTGAGACTCTGGTATTTCGTCAGTAAATTGTTGACCTGGATGATGTCAGTATGTACTGGAAAGCACTCACTGACATAAACCTGGCTACGAATGTAGGTGGAACATAATTCTGTATTGCTGCGAGATATGAATGTATGACTCTAGAGTCTCAAACTAGGACGAAACAGCTGTCTAGTACTCTCAGGTTTTCCAGTGGTTCTCTAACTGATGTCAGCTCATGATGAAATCCTTCATGCAGTCAAACAAAATCTCTTCGAAACTAATACTTGAAAATTAATCTGATGCTCATTAAAGACTGGTCCTATTCAGGCAGTTAAACTGGGGTTCTAGTGAGAAGCCATGACCAGTAGGGTACAGCAGGTTGAAGATGAGGCAGTAACTCATCGAAGAAGACATTGCGAAATGGTCGTGCTATGTCGTGAATTGGCAGAAGTAAGAATTCAAGGACCATTGGATTGAGTCTCAGTGACCCAATGGTCTACGAGCTCTCCTTGTAGCCAGAAAGTTATAGGTTCCAACCCCGGTGGGTGCGTACTAATGAAGAGTCTCAAACTGGGACGAAGCAGCTGCCTAGTACTCCCAGGTTTTCCAGTGGTTCTCTAACTGATGTCAGCTCATGATGAAATCCTCCATGTGATCATTAGGTCATTATTATTTCACGTTAATCATGAAATAAGTCTACTTGTAGAGAATTCGAACATTTCCTTTAAACCAAAAAAATGACTTTTTGTTTATTTTATTTCAAGATAAACAGGTTAAAGAACTTGGGGGCGCTAAATTTACTTATAATGATGATTACGAAGTGATAGTTGGAGGTACTGAGTGTACATGGAGAGTTGATATGAAGAAAGCGACGGCTGATGAGGTGGCAAATGGAGGAGGATACCGTAATGGTTCTCTGTGAGTCTTCTTTCATATGTGAAATATATGTTCACTTAAACTATATTATGCAAATTACATCTAAATTACTTGATAATGATATTGTAAATATCCTCACCTTATTATCAAGAATGCTACTAACATTTTCGAAAGAGCCTCCGATTCTATGGAAGACTGAGGCCTCTATGTGCCGTTATTGACTTGTGTGTACAGTATAGTACTGGTGTTGTCAAATGCGATGGACTCATACCTCATGCAATTCACAATGAACAATAATAACAGTAATAACAATAACAGTAGTGGTAGATTTAATTGAGATATGTGTAAAATTCACTTGCTCCTGTAGAGCTCAGTATATTCAGCATGAAACGAAATACTGCTTTAAATCTTCAGCGTCAAAATGCGTTGCTAATGGAAAATGATATATCTCGAAGCTCTGTATATTCTCAATCTCTATGTTATTTTTGCGTGATCCTCCATACTCTTGAGGCTAATTGTACCGATGATCTTACGACCTCTGTCTTATTATCTTCTGCATTTCATTCTACTCATATGAATAGATTCTAAACTGAAGTTAACACATAGTCACCTTCAAAAAGATCTTTAACCGAATCCATCCTTATGCCATATAGTTTGTTGATTTCAGTTTCAGCTATGAACAAGACTAGCACATATGTATTGTTTTTATGTTGACAGCACGGTGAAAAGGAGTCAACTGAATATCTCCAGTCTGGGCATCAGTATCTTTAACAGTTTCTGTCGGTCGTCTAATATCTTGTCGATTTCTAGAGAAATATTTCGTTTGACTGATTATATGAGGCAGTTGAGACTGTTTAATGGTCAACCACTTCTCTTTCACTTTATAAATTCAAATATTCTGCCGATTCTTATTCCCTTTCATTATTCGCCTCACTTATTCTTCCATGGACATCTCAATGTCAGTCTCAGTCATATCACGTAGAACATTGGAGACTGTAAGTAGCGTTGGTGGTGTGCTGCCTTAGACTTGGTTATCTTACATAACTGTCAATAGGCTCATGATCACTCTCAAGTAGTTGCCTAAACGTATCACATTTGGTATCGAACATATTCATTACTATTCGCAACTTTCTACTTTGATATATATGAGTGTGAAAGCAGAAGGAATTCAGTAAAAAATTATCATTAGGTTGGCGGGAAGAAGTTTAACATCAATTATGTGGATTTCGTGTGAAGAGACAAATGTGAGAAAAGAACTCACGAAATGTCTAAATCAGTAAATAAATTGCGAAATCCTCCTCAGCTGGCTGCTCGACTGGTCATAGGTTCTTATGTCCTACAAACCTATGCACCTTTGAACGCGATAACTTCCACCTGACCTACAGTCATCAAACTCACCACGACGCATTCAAGCAATCGTCGGTAATAACCTTGCGTGTGATATCTACACTGCGCATATCCAATCCACCTTCTTTCCACTGTGAACATTCGTTTGGTGACATGTTCTTCTCTGACACAGACGTATTCACTTCTGTGAGGGACAAAAATCACTAGAATTGGTACTATATCTACAGCCACTTACAAAATTGCCTCTGATTGTAGAAATATAACCCTATCTATTATGCAATGCATTTTTGAACATTGGATTTGTCAAACCGATTGTGATGTGTATTTTTATGACTTGATTGTCGTCTCTTTTTTCCCCTCTCTTTCTCAAGGTGGTGTAAAGGCTGGAATGTTTATAGACAAAACTCGCCAATACCTAATATAATAATTACTAAGAAGAGCGAATAGAGTATGGCTGTGCAAAACAGTATTGGAGCTGCAGAAGAAAACTGTCAAAATAAGAGATATTATCTATTGTATAACTGATAAATAGTTTCAAGTGTGCTTATTCAAATGCTCTGCTCAGAAGTTAGTAAAACTGGATATGCTTCATTTTCTGAATACTCAGTATTTTTCTTCCTTTTTCTGTTGATTAAATATTCTCGAGTAAATGCATATTCATAAACCAATTTCGTGTTATCAACAAATATATCCTGAAGAGGCTCTTCACCCGAAACATCATCTGAGTTATTGGACAAACCCAATCATTTTTCAAACAGTCTCACTGAGAAAATGAGATTAAGAAAATGTCATTCTGAGTGAGTTTGTTCATCCGAATTGATCGAATCCACGACATCTGTGTAAAAGTGATGCACGAAGTTCCAGGAATTCGTTGTCTTCTTTGTATGGCAGGGGTATTGCAGATGTAGTGCATTCACATGACTTCATAATAGTATTTGTGTATCATGACAGTAAAATGAAGAGACCTGTTTGAATCTCTGTCACTCCAGAGCAGTCAGAAAATATATTTCAAAAGCTGTCCTACAGGAAGTGAGTCGTGAGTACGGATGGAGGAGTGATGAAATCTCTCCAGCAACCTCAAATAAAGAAATAGCTTCTTTCCTATGGAAATTTTTTAACACACAAACAAAGACAGACAGAGGCAGTGTTAAATGCGTTTCACTCCCCATAGGAATTTTCAACATTCTGGTGATCACTTCTGTCATCACTAGTATAAAGGAGTCCTACATGGATAGTACACCATGACATTGTTGACAGTAACTGCGTAATGTAGTGGAAGAGATTCTTGATCAAGCGGTTGGTTGAACGGATACACTTAGTTCCCCAACACAGATAGTATTTAGTAGTACTAATGGTATTTAATAAGTGAATGTCGGATATTTGAAGAGGGCAATGAACTTTCATTTTCAAATATCTATAATGTCAGTAGCACAAATGAGTGGAATACAGATGTTGTGTGAGTGTGTGTGAAACAAGTATTTGAATGGTTTGTACACAGAGGACGAAATGTTTCTTCAGCTGAACCTGACTCCAACAAATGTATCCGGACAAAAGTAACAAGGTAGACAAGCACATTAATTTCGTTATTGCAAAATGAAATGTCGACAAATTTATCCGGAAGTAGACAAGATTAGAAAAACGAAAAATAGTTAAAAACAAAACAACTGTTGAATATGACGCAAATGAAAATTGTACACAAGTACTGACAACAGCAATACATGGCCGGAATTGAGCACGAGTGTAGTTTCGTTGTATGGTGGAAGAGTGTAAGAGTATGAACTTCTGAAATGCTTGTTCTCATTGAAATATCAGTGATAAAATGACTAACAGTTGAATGATGATACCGAAAATAATGAAATGAAACTTTGTGTGGGCTGCCTAAAAAAGGATTAATGGATGGATTTAAAGAATGCAGAAAATACATGTATAAGAAGAGTGTGGAGTTAGAAAACATAACATGATCTGAGTAGAACAATGACTTCGAGTAAACATTGTGAACCATCAGGAACCGAAAAGAAAGAGATTGATGTTGGACCTTAAAATAAACTCAGATATATATGGAATTGCGAAGTTTTTATTGCATATTAACAAAACACTAACGACAGGTATTCTCAGTTTGATTTGTTCCCATTACAGAGACGTTTTCCACTGGTTAGTGTGAAAGTTAGGAAGGCTTCAGGTAAGATATTAGGTCTTGAACATTAATGATTCCTTCAATTTCATCGAAAGAAAGGAAAAATATAAAGCACCTATCAAATATTTGACATCTAATGAGATGCAATCCCTATATACGACCCTGCCTACTCAAAAGACAAAAAGTAGCATGTTTCAACACGAAGAAGATATCATGGTGTCGATGGCTGATATGAAACGTTATCTGATCAGTTCAAATTCCGAAACGTGTTGTATCGCCAGTTCAATGGAATATGTTTGTAAGTTTCTCTACCTCAAATATTGATTGCCATTTGCATGTACCATCAAGGAAAATACTACGTTGAAGTCTGCAATTCGCATGACTATGTTCCTTTGTGCATGTGCAAAAATGCTTTATTTTCCCATCTCGCGACCTGAAATTCTCATTGCGAGAAAACGATTATACAGCTAGATAATAAATCCGTTGTTGAGAAAAGTAACTCCGCTGAATCACTTGCTTTGAGTTATATTTCAAGTGAATAAATACACTGTGAACGGTATTCAGGTGGGTTTGAACCGTCTATTATGAGTGGAAGAAGGTTTGCATGAGATGATGATGTCTATTTAATCGATATTAGGAAGTATGTCGCACTGCATGACTGTTTGAAGTTTTTCGACAGAAAACACTAGAAACCGGATCATAGGTTGATCGCGCCTTCTTTAGAATATCTGTTAAGACTGTAAGAATTCATTTTCTAGTCAATTCCAAAGAACTACGAAACAGCTGTCCAGACCAACATAGTGTCCAGTGATTCAATGTTGTGCAGGTGGTTAGCGACAACATTGAACTTGAAATGAACAGAAACGTCCACTAATAATTTCATTGAACTTTTCGTCAAAATGCGTCTGGTATAGTGGATATCTTTTTGGATGAGGCAGTGGATCTATCGGAAATATGACTTTTGTTTTGAATAGTGTATGTTTGTGTGTTGAACGATGGAGTATTGCATATGATTGCTATAGAAGTAGGGAATTAAAAGACAGTTCCAGCGAAGAGAATTTTCTTTTCGTCGAAGTCATCATCTAGGCTGTACATTCGTGTATTTATATCAAATGGATAGGAAAGTTCCAGAGTAATTTCCGGTTAATGGTCAAATTAATAAAACTTACAATTAGGAATTAGAATGCCATAATAAGCAGGGGGATGGGTAAAACTCAAACAAAGTAGCATAATTACTAAGAAGATTCACATTGTGCAATTGGGGGTTAGAAATGTATAAATAACAAAATATACAGGATGTTTGAATAAAAAAACTAATGTGATGAATAGTTGTTTATGCAATCAGGGATTAAATATGTAGAAATAGTAAAATGACAAAATAAACAGGAAGTGTGGATATGAAAATATGGTAGTGTAGGCAGGGATTACGACAAACTCTTTTTACTAGCCAGGCTGAGTAGTGTTCACGAGCGCGTTTTCCAAGTCGGCGCATGGTTTGGCCGATGTACTCAGCTCCACAAGAGCAAGTAAACTGGTATATGCACGTTGAGGTGGCCCAATGCGACAGCTTGTCTTTCGCGTTCTGGTTGAACAGTTTCTTGCAGGAAAACGTCAGTCGTAGGCTTGCGGCGATGTATGTTTTTCTCGATGATTTGGAGAGGCGTTTGCGAAAAATTTCTGCTTCAATATCACCTTTGAATTCTAGATTAAGCAGAAGTATTTTCTTTGAAACGGATTGGACTTGTTCGGAAGTTTTCTCAGGTTTGAGATTCTTGTCTAGGAACCTGGGTGAGAAACCGTTTTCCATCAGAGCTTTTTGGAGATTACGCAGTTCTTCTTCAATCACTTCCTCGCTGCATATCTTCCGAATCCTCGAGGAAAGAGCGTATATCATGTTCCTCTTTCTGCTTAGCGGCACGAAGCTTTGAAAGTTGATGAATTGTCCAGTCCATGTAGGCTTTTTGTATATAGACCTTTTCAAAGAGTTGTTGTCGTTTCTCGTCACATGGACGTCCAGGAAGTGGAACATTCCGTCGGATTCAGTCTCAAGTGTGAAGTCGATGTTTGGGTGGGAGTTGTTGAAGATTTGAAGTAAGTTTTCAAGGTCCAGCTTCTCATCACAATTGATGAAATTATTATCAATGTATCACTTGTAGAAATAAAGGTCGTCGATAGTTGATGAAAAGGGGTTGTTTTCGAGGCTGGCCATAAAAGAGTCGGCTAGGAGTGGTCCGAGTGGAGAGCCCATTGCTACGCCATATGCTTGCCTGTGGATTTCATTGTTGAATCTGAAGTAGACGTTGAAGGTGCAACGTAGTAACAGCTCCTTTAGATAATTGATCGGTATGCCGACATCTATGCTGTTGCATTGGATGAAGTCACACAGAAAGCGTATAGTTTCTATCAATGGAAAACTGGTGAACAGAGAGACGACGTCTAGGGAGACCATCTTTTTATTTGCGAGGTTGACATTTTTAATTGAATCCACGAAATCGAATGTGTCACGGAGGTTGTATCTCGACAATGTTTCTTTCACTGGTCCAAGAATTTCTACCAGCCACTTCGCGATTAGGTGATATGGCGAATTGATCATATCTAATATAAAGCGGAGTGGGACGTCCTTTTTGTGCACTTTGGGTAGTCCATACATTTGTGGCGATGTAGAACCAGATGGGTGAAGTTTTTCACATAGTTCTGTATTGGTAATCGATTCATCTTTTATTTTTTTCAATATGTTGGTTGGCTGGAGCTCCGTCTATTCAGTTGGATCTTTTTGGATAGTCTGTTTTTGAAATTTGCTGTCATCACATATAATTGAAGAGAGTTTCTTCACATAGTCTGACTTGTTAAGCAGAACAATTCCAGAACCTTTGTCTGGTCGAGTTATTATCAGGTTTTCATTTGATTTCAATTCTTTGAGTTGCTTTCGATGTTCTTTTGAAAGCATATTACGAAGTCTAGGTTTTTTGTTGATGTAGTCGAGGCAGCAATTCAAAACAGTTGATTTGAAGTGTTCTGCACTGTCATATGAAATTGAGGTCAGATCATTCGTCTGACTAATCAAATTCTCGAATTGTACTTTGGTGTTCAATTCGTTTACTTTTGATGATGCATCACAAAATTTTGGTCCGAGCGACAACAGTTGCATTTGAATAGGTGAAAGTGAGACATCAGAAAAATTGAATACATATTTCTCGGGACAAGATGGGAAATCTGTTTCCTAGGTGACTGATTTGAAGCTTTGTTTAAGTTTTATGATGATATTTTCCTTTCTCTTCTCTGAGACTGTATTGGCGTAGTGTTCGAATGACGCACGTTCATCAACAGTTAAATCGTAAAGAACGTGGGAGCTCATTGAGACGTTTTGTTCCAGTTCAGCTAATCTAGATTGGACGGCATCAATGTGAATCTGGGTGTGTCTTCTGAGCGTGCGTGAATTGGGAGATATATGGTTTCGTTTCAAATTTTTCCAGAATGCTTTCGGGTAATCATGCTTATCCAAACAGCTTTTTCAGAAGGAAATCTTCGCATTCGCTTCAGCAAGCTTGACGGACAAACGTAGAAACTTGTTCAGTT